CCCCCCCCCCCCCCCCCCCCCCCCCCCCCCCGTGTGCACCCTGTGCCTGGGGTGGTCCTGCCAAGGAGCGGCCCCAGCAGCAGTTGGGCCCGCTGTGCTGTGCAGAGAGCTGTAGGGTGTGAGGGGCCGGCCGTTCTTCCAGCGGGGTTCCGTCTGTGTGGAGCAATGAGAGCATCCCAGGAGAATCCGCTAGTTAGTGGGGGAGCTGCCCGGGTGTCCACGACACTGGCTTTTCATACGCACAGTGATTCAGCTTCACGGAGAAGAGGCCGCCTCTGCTCTATGGGAATCACTAACACTGAATACTGATGGTTCCTAAGGGCCAGCCCCGCAGTAAGTGTTCTGCCAGTAGACATCCTGTCTCCTTCTCAAGGTGACCCTGAGAGGAGGGCCCACCCCTGCAGCTGGGTCCTGGGGCAGAGACGGAGCTCTGCAGGAACACGGCAGCTCTGCCCGTCCTGGCTCTGTGGCTTGGGGTTTCTGATGTGTTATTTTCTTCATAGACCCTGAGGGTTTCCCTGTGCTGGGGTGATCACTGGCCATGAGTAGCATGTTGACACCCTGATGATCTCAAACCATGCCCAGAAGGGGCCACATGCTGGCCTAGCCTCCTTCTCTTGGTGACTTACTGACATAGGTCGCCATGATTTTGTGAATGATGATTGGACACTTTTATAACACATGAAAATAAATGGAACTGAGTGCCAGAGTCTCGAGGAACAGGTATTTCCAAACTATAGGTTTTTTTTTTAAAGAGAGAGAGAGAGATAATTTTTTTTTTAATATTTATTTTTTAGTTATTGGCGGACACAGCGTCTTTGTTTTTGTATGTGGTGCTGAGGATCGAATCCGGGCCGCACGCATGCCAGGCGAGTGTGCTACCGCTTGAAGCCACATCCCCAGCTCAAAAACTATAGGTTTTGAAAAGTGGAACCAAAAATTTTGAGAACTAACAAAGAAGTAGTCCACCCATTGCCTCCTGGAATGCTGGAGCAGGGCACATGTGGCCGGGAACTGGGGCTCAGAGGCCAGCACCTCTTCTTGGTCAAGGTTCTAGTCCTGCAGGGAGGAGACACTCAGGCCTCTGGTTTCTGGAAAGCAGCAGTGCCCTTGGCCGGGAGGCAGCTGGCCTGGGAGAGGGGTCTGCAGTCAGAGAGTGGACAAGAGGTCTGAGGAACAGGGTTGCACGGACTATTTTTTCTAAGTGAGAAACAGGCAGGGGTTTCTGAACCCAGGGTTTTAGTTCCTGCAGTTTTGTTTCCTTTTGCTGCTTTATCAGTGGATTTCAGAAAAAGAAAGAAAAATCATTGCAGTTATTATCAAGTTTACTTTATTGATAAGAATGTTCTGCGTGAGAAATCAAGACCAAAGTCGTGGTGGCATGACACTGGGAGGTGGTGATTGGGACTAGGAGGTGGTGAGTGAGACGAGGCTGTGAAGCTGCCGGCCACTCGCTCCACAGAGATTAGGTGGGTCTAGCTTTTCAGTCTGTCTCAGGGACACTGGCAGGTTTTCTTGGGAATAAGAATAGAAATTAACTTTGTACCCAAGATTGGTTAAACTTCAAATAAACACTCACTTGTAGTCAGTCTCTTGATCCTTTTCCAAAAGCTAGCAGACACAAAGCCCTGCTGTGGCTCTTCCAGAACACGCCCTGGGAAGCCAGCATGACCTCTGAGGCCGTCTGCTGCTCAAGAGATTGGGCTAGTCGGTTTGCCTCGCCGTGCCTCTCTCCTACCCGGTGCATAGGACACCTAGAAGGAGGAGAGGTCTCCTTGGGCTTGTGGTTCCTGAGGTTTCAGTCCCTAATTGGTGGGCTCCCTTGCTTTGGGCCTATGGTGAGCAGCTGTCATGGCAGGGAGGGCCTGGTGGAGCACCGCTCCTGCCCTTGTGGAGGCAGGGAAGAGAGATGGAGGCTCCCGATATCCTCATCAAGGACATGTCCCGCAGGGACCTTCCTCCTCCACCCAGGCTTCCCTGCCTTCCTGAGGAACCGTTAGCCAGGGACCAGATCTGCAGCACATGAGCTCTTGTGGGACACCTGTAAATTTCAAACTCTAATGCAGGCTGAGGGTCCTGGGGTTGCAAGCCCCATGCGCCATGTTCTTGTTTTGTGTGTACCTGCAGACAATCTGGATGAGGCGAGAGAGCAGAAGGAAGAGAGCCTTCCAGACCAGTCGGCTGTGCCCCACACTCCCCCCAGCACCCCTGTCAAGCTTGAAGAAGGTGAGCTCTGGCGGAGGTGGGGGTGCGGTGGCCCTGATGTGGGAGGGTGCATGCCTGTGCACTGGCACCTAGTTGTGGCACTAGTTCTGTTAACCTGAATAAAGAAGTGTGCAGGCCTGACCCAGCTCTGGAGTCCTCCCGGCCTCTCCTCCTCCATCTGTTCTGTGCTGGGTAACCTGAGGCAGAACAGAGTCCAGCCATTATGATCGTGGGAGGGCAACTTCAGGGTGGGACCCACCACGGTTCTTGTGCCAGCTTTGCCCGTTGCTTGCCTACTTACCATCCTTCGTCATGTCGAGAGGGCACCTGAGTGCCTTCCATTGTCGGGCTGCAGGATGCTTGACCTGCCACACCAGGCAGGTGCCGAGAGGCTGTGTATACCCTGCTCGCCTCTCGGACTGTCGCACGTCCGTGGTGTGTGATCTGACACGTCTGTGTCTCAGTCTCGTACATCTGTGTCTCCCGTGAAGCCTGTGGCTTCCCTCCCCGTTCTGTGTCCTACAAGAGTGGCTCGGCCTTTCTTGTGGAACCCGGTGGCTGTGACTGAGTGCATAGACTCTCTCCTGTGCTTCTCTTTCTCGCCGCCGCCTTTCAACAGGAGCTGGATGTGCTAAAGAGTACCTGCTGCCCTAGTAAGTACTGCCCGCGCCTGGCGCTCTGCTCTCACACCCCTGCCTCTGCTTTGCCTTGTTCTCCTGCTTCTTTGTTGTTTATTAAGTTTTGTTTTCTGTTTATTCAAAACAAAAACAGAGGCCCTCTTTTTTTTGTACCCAACCCTTCAGTGGCCTCCCCATGAGTGAGTTTACCTGAGCACTGTGCAGGGCAGCGGCCTGCATGGACGGTGGGATGGACTGTCTGGGGCCGCCACATACTGCACAGTGTTGCTCAGAGCAGCCTGGATCTAAAAGTGGAGTTTTTAAGTTCATCCTCTGAGAATCTCTCTTGATGGTTGGGTCAGATGTAAAAGCAGATGAGGTTCTGCCAGGTGGGTTCTTCCACTAGGTGCATGGAGTCCTGTTTATTTGGACCTCTGTTTAAACTGGCATTGGCAATTTGAAGTGAGCTGAAGAGGGTATTAATACTTTTTAGGAAATGTGACATTTGTCAAAATGATGGAAAGTTAGAGTGCATGCTGGGGCCTCTATCTTGGAGCGTTAGCTGCTATGAGCTTGGCAGAGGGAGCCCTAATCCCTCCGGGTGGGGAGGTGCCTGCACCCCCAGCCTTCCCTCCTGCTGTAAGTGTGGCGTGGAGTGAGGGAAGAGGGCAACGAGTAGGGTGGACTGTGGGGCACCTCCTGCTCCCTAAGCTACAGCAGTGTGGGGCCTGGAACATGTGTGGCCAGGCCTCTCCAGCCCCGCGTAGCTCCCGGTCCTGAGCTGTGCTTGACTTCTGAGTACTAAGTGGTTTGGTGTTGCCTAACATGCAGCTGCTTGTTACTTTGTAGACTACGTAAAACCTCCAACACTGGTGTCCCTGGGGTGGGTGTAGGCATGTGGGTAGATGGAAATCAGCCACACCTAGGCTTTCTGGAGATAGGTGACATTTTGCTCTTTCCTGTTGAGTTATTCAGATTGTGAGGATGGCTTGATTTTGTTATTGTTGTTTCTGTAACTTCCCTTATAGTTCATTTTTCTTTTCACTCTCCAGCCTAAATGGCTTTCTTTGTTTTCTTGGAGGTCTGTGCTCCTGGGGTCTGGGGTTCGCTCATGGTTCTCTCCTGGCTGCCCTTGGGGAAGACCAGATGTTGTGGAACCAATTCTAGGCTTAATTTTAGTTCAGAGCTCAGCATGAAGGCTGTGCTCCTCAGGAAGCTCGAGATGCTCCCCACCGGAGGCGCCAGACAGCCTTGGAGACAGACCTTTTGTAACGTTAGCTTCACCCAGCTAAGGTAGAGAAGGTCTAGTTAGAGCTTCTTGTCTTGGAAAACGCAGAGTCCCTTGAGTGGCCGCTCCTTCTGCTGACATTAGGCAGCTGGCGACCAGGCAGGAGCCCTAAAGCCTTTCTCCCACTCCCACCCTGCTGCCAGACCTCCTGCAGGAGCCGGCTCCCGGAGACGACAGCGATGCTGCCACCTTCAAGCCGATGCTACCTGACCTGTCCCCCGACGAGCCTTCAGAAGCACTTGGCTTCTCGACTCTAGAGGAGGAGGAAGCCCAGGGTCCCCCAAGCCCTACCCCAGACCCCGCTGCTGACCCTGAGCCAGCCTCAGCCCCAGTAGCTGAGGAGACGGCCCCCCCAGCTGCCGAGGAGGGGTCTGCTGTGGATCCCGGCAGCGACGGGTCTCCAGGCAAGTCCCCGTCTAAGAAGAAGAAGAAGTTCCGCACTCCTTCCTTCCTGAAGAAGAGCAAGAAGAGGGGCGACTCCTGAAGGCCCGGCCTGCACTGTTCTGTCTGAAGCAGCCCTGAATCTGCCAGAGTCCCTGGTTATGTCTGTGTTCTGTCCTCTTGTGTAATGGAATGCGAAAAGCCAAGCCCTCTACCTAGCTAGGCCCCTCCTGCCTGTGCCCAGCCCCATGCAGACCGGTGCTGACCGCCCACGTGTGCACTCTGCCCCCCACCCCCCCCACCCGCCTCCACCTCGGGTTCTGGGGGAGATGGGCCTCTAAATCATGGTCCTGGCTGGAACTGGAAGGCACCAGAGGCTTCTACCAGCTCTGGCACTGTCCCCCTGGGCCTTGACCACGTCATCCTTCCTGTTGTGAAATAACTCTCTGCTCGGCTTCCTCTTCACCCCAAGGTGTCTCAGGTGACTGAATCCAACTTGTGGTTTTTGCTGGTGTCACCTGCTCAGTGACCCCCCTCTTTCCTGCACACAGCCTTGGTGCTGTGCAGCACTCCTGTGCCCACCCCGTGGCCCCAGGGCTGCCTTGAAGAGGTGGGTTTGGGCAGGATGCTGGGCCTGCACATGCCCAGTGCTATGCTCCCTATGGGCTGATGGACAGCCCCCACCATAACCAGATTCACAGGGAAGGGGATGCCCAGAGGGGAGAAGAGTCTTTTCTTTTGGCAGGTTTGCAATTTAGCTTCCTTTTTCACTAAATGTGAACAGATCACTTTAGTTTTCTTTCTGGAGCCTCTGGCAGACTGCAGGGAGCACTGCCTGCCTGTGTGGGGGTTCAGAACTGATGGCAGGCTGTTCCCACCCTAACTCGGCCTACAAGATGCCCAGGTTCTGATGAAAGTGAACTCAAGACAGAAGTCTTGACTCGGTGGCCTCTTGCACCCTTCTCTCCTCTGTCAATACTGCTGTGAATCTTCACTCAACTCATCCCTGGAAAAGGGCTGGAGGCTGCTCAGGGGGTGGCTAGATAAGTCCTCAAAGGTGCCAGGAGCTGTGGGGCGCCTGCCAGGGGGCCCAGAGGTGTCCCACCAGGGAGCGGCGGGTAGCACCGGTGCCACATCTTCAGCATGGTGGGCTGAACGCCCACAACCCCACCAACACCGTGCCTGAGCGGGACCCGAGGCTGGTGGCAGGGTGGCCCAGGGCCTGCTGCCAAGGTGGCATATAGTTTCCCACCTTCGTCCTGGACCCTGCCTTTTGTCCCTCCTCACCCCCTCCCCCTGCCCCATATACGCAGTGACCTTCAGTTTTCACTTTTGTAGTCTAATTCTTTGTATCACAACATGAAACGTAGTTGCACTCACGATGCAGACGCCTGTGTGTCCTTTCCTCATTGTAACATGTTTTACTCACAAATAAACTCTTGAAGCAGTTTCTGTCCGAGTATTTTTTTGCCTTAAAGTAGGATTTCCAAGTTTTCGTGTCTCCCCCCCACCTTTTTTTGAGATGGGGCGGGTCTTGCTGTGTTGCCCAGGGCAGTCTGTCAACCCAGGGGCTCAGTGACCCCTTGCCTCAGTCTCCAGGCAGTTTGGGTCGCCTATCCTTGCCACTGCGGCCACCGCCAGTCAGCTGTTCCCTACAGCTGTGGACTGGGAACGTGCATCTAACAGTGCCCCTGCTGGGCCTCCCTGGGGAACCTGAGGTGGCATTTGGAAGCTGCTGGACAGGGCACTGAGCACATGAGCCTGTCCTGATAGTCTGTCCCCCAAATGTGAGTAGACCAAGCCTCACTGGAATAGGAACAGCAGTGTGGCCATATCTGATGGGGAGGGGTCGGGAATAGCGACAGCCTAAGGCTCTGCCTCTTGTCTGCCAGCAGGACTGACCACAGGTTTGGGTCCGTGCCTGACTCCCCAAGCATCTGCTGAGGAGGACACAGGCTCCGGGACACTGTGTTCTGTCCTAACTAAGAGCCACCCAGCTGCAGTTTCAGCTCTTGGTGGTGGCTGGTGGGGCAGAACAGAAAGGCACCTGGTGGAAAATAGTTGCTTTATTGATCGTTAAGAAGCCTGGGCAGTGGCCAACAACACCAATGAGAGGAACGAACAGAAAACTTGATGTTCTTGGAGTCACCAACCCTGCCTGGGCCTCTGGAGTGAGAAGAGGGTAAGGCTGCCCAGACTCGCCCCATCCCACCCCGGGGTGGGGGAAGAGTGGGCAAGCCTCTCTTCCTAGCCTGGGAAGGCAGGGAGTTGGGGGCAGGGGCTCTGGTCCAGGCTCCCACTTAGAGCAAGGGTGGCCCCGTGTGGGCCACGCAGCTCAGCTACTCGGCCTTGAGAATGGGCGCTGGATGTCTCAGCTTCAGCAAGAGGAGGAAGGGGAACAGGAAGAGCCCCGAGCACACGGTGAAGCAGACCTGGGCCCCAGCCAGCCAGTACACTGTGGAGAGTCGGACAGGCTCACCCGGGGCCCCTGGACCGAGGACCCCCACACCCCCCACTCCCTGTCAGGCCAAGTGGGGAGCCAAGAGCAGCGCTGGGTAGCCGAGGGGTCACACAGCACACTGAATGCTGTCCCACAGCCCTCACCTGAGGCAGCCACCATGGGACCCACCGCTCTGGCCAGGGCACCCAGGCTCCGCAGAGTGCCCATGACAGTGCCCTTCTGACCTGGAGAACCTGCGGGCAGAGACCTCATCAGGTGCCTGCCAGTCACCTCTCACCTTCGTGTCCTTGGCCCTGGAAGGACTTACCAAAGCTGGCAACCATGGAGGATAGGCAAGGCACCACGACAGCAGCGGCTTGTGGGGACATTGGAGGCATCTGTCAGCCCAGAGGACAGGGATGGGGCTCCCCCTCCAGCCCTGCAGGGCCACTCACCAAAGGAGTAGAGCAGCAGCCCCAGGCCCAGCACGGGCAGTGAGTGTCCCCAGCCAATGAGAAGGAAGGCTGGCACCAGCAGCAGCAGGGCCTGTGGTGGTCACATGGCTTCAAGACCAGCTCTGCTGCCCACCCACAGAACCCAGAGTACCACCTACCACCCACTGGAGGGGAAGCCCCTACCCGCTTGACAGCTGCCACTTCCCCGCCAGGGCTGATTCGCCGAGCGTAGGTGCCCTGGATGGTGGCCATGGTGAGACCGATGAAGAAAAACATCTTGCCCTGCTGCAGGCTGGGAGGCAGAGGGTGAGTCCAGCCCTCAGCCTGGGGGCCTGGAGCCCAAGTGGGGCAGGGGTAGGGCGGAGGGCAGCAGGCTGCTGGGGGGGAACTGAACCCTGAGGCAGGGCGTGCTGAGTGGGACCCACCTGCTAAACTGGAAGTGCTGGTGTGCCAGGAAGCTCAGCGTGTACTCCAGCCCCGAGAACAGGAAGAGGTAGAGGAAGTAGACCAGGCCCAGGCCGCGCAGGCTGCCAAGCTCTGCAGGGCAGCAGGGGGCGCACGTGGGCATCGGACCAGGCAGCCAAGGTCTGGAAAGCCCTGGTAGGAAGGGCAGGCTCCTTACTGTCTCTGGCAGGTGGGTCCTGGCCTCGAGCAACAGCTGCAAAGCGCAGGAGGGCCACAGGGCTGAGCAGGTCAGCAGCAGCGCGGAAGCCCAGGGCGACCGAGGGTGCCTGCGGGAGTTGGAGAGGCCTACCAGCTTAAGGAACAGCACTGCCCCGGCACTGCAGGCCCCAAGACACCAAAGAGGGCAGCACAGCTCCCTTGGCACCAGACAGTGACACAGACTGAGAGGACATTCCATGGGACCCAACCTCCAGCTTACGCGCTTCTCTGGAGGTAGCGTCTCTGGCAGGAAGCAGAAGATGAAGAGCAGGTTTGAGACTGCGAAGAAGAGGCTGAGCCAGGGTGCCATCTCCACAGACAGGGAGGCACCGAGCATGGGGCCCAGTGTGAAGGCCAAGGAGAAGGCCACTCCAATTACTGCCTGGGGAGAAGGCCATCAGAGCTGGGCAGAGAGGCCAAGGCCCAGGCCCAGGCCCCCTCATCCAGGCCTGTGCACTCACCATGCCTTGGCTGCGGGCTGGAGGTGAGCCCAGGTCAGCAACGATGGCTGTGGAGAGGCTGACGTTCCCCTTGCTGATGCCCCCAATCACCCTGGAGGCCAGAAAGGCCGCGAAGCTCCGGGATGCTGCCCATACTGCATAGGAGGCAACCAGACCCGCCTGGCAGGGCAGGTGGAGTCACTCGTGGCCAGGAGGGGCCGCGAGGGGGGCGAGCAGGCCCAGGCCACGCTCCTTGGGCCCCGCCCCAGCCCCCGGTGCCCCCGGTGGCAGGAGCGGCCCAGGGCCGCCGGCACCAGTCATCCTTCCAGGGCCAACCGTGGCGAGGAGGGACCCACAGCCACCCTTTTCTTGCCCATGCCCAGCCTAGCCCATCCCGCGGCTGCTGGGTGGGCGGGAGGAGGCCGGGCCACCCCGTGGGCACCTGGTTCGAGGAACGTACCAGGGACAGCAGCATCACTGGGCGCCGCCCCAGGGAGTCGGAGGCGGCCCCGGTGAGCGGCGCGGAGAGGAACTGCAGGAAGGAGAAGGCCGAGCCGATCAGACCTGAGCGACAGGGACAGGTCAGGGGCGGCCCGCGCGCCCGGGCAGGCCTGGGGGTCGCGGAGGGCCGCGGGCCGCCTACCTCCGAACAGCACGCTGTGGTAGCGCTGCTCCGCCGGCACCCCGATGGCCGCGGCGAACCAGTCCACGCCGCGCTGCCACGAGCCGTAGAGCGGGTCCTGGGGACAAGGAGCAGGGGCTGGCTGGGCGGGCGCGCGGGCCGGGCGGGCGGGCGCGGGGCAGGGCGGGCGGGGGTCTCACGTGCGCGCGGCCGTGGCTCTCCAGCAGCCCGGGTAGCAGGGGCAGCAGCAGCGTGAAGGCCAAGAGGTCCAGCAGCAGGCCCAGGAAGAGCACGACCACCACGCGGCGCTCGGGCGCGGGCCGCGGGCGGATGGGCGGGCGCGGGGTGCAGCCGGCGTCCGCCCCCCACCCCATGGCGCCCCGGGCCTGCTGCACCGACCACCGAGGCAGAAGGGCGCGCGGAAACGGACGCGGGACACCGCCCAGACCCCGCCCCTTCCGGCGGCAGGACGCTCCGCCCCCACCGCGCTGCAGCCCGGGTTCTGGGTGACTCTGGGCGTCTTCCTGCATCGCGCAGCGGGACAGCACCGGCGGCTTGGTCCTGTTTCTCGGCGGCCCTCCCGGATGGGGCAGCCGGGTCAACGTCCAGAGCTCACTCAGCTTACAGGGGATGGACTGGAGGCTGCCCAAGGGTCCCGTCTGCGCCTAGGTGGCCGCGAAGAAGGGACCAGCCCGCTCTTCTGGATGTCGCACACCTGGCAAGCCTCCCAGAAGGATCCCAGGTAAGACGCCTGCGTGTGGTCCCACGGGACCGCCTTCCCTCCTGCCAGCCCACGGTGTTCTTGACAATTTTGGCTTGAGCCTGGCATGCCACTGAAGCCAGATTTAAAGATAGGTAGGTAGTCAGGTAAATCGGGTCTAATATGCATAACAGAATGGAGCCCAGGAAAGCAGAGGAGCACTGGGGAAATTGAAATGTTAATGAAGCAGCACCCAGCAAACATGGAGATGCCAATCCAAAAGTCCTTCCTTCCCAGATTACTCCTTAGGCCCACCTGTCCCCCACCCTCTGGGCCTTCCCACCTACATTCCATCACTGAAAGATAACAGAACAGAGGACAGGAATGCGGGAAAGGTGAAAGAAGACCTTAGCTATAAAAAGGGGAAGACATCGCCCTTCCACGGATTCCACCTCTAGGGTCCCCTTCTTCCTCCAGGGAGAAAAGTCTTTTCTGCTGTCCTTTAATAAAGCCTTCTCTGGTGCTATACTTCAGCATTGGGGAAGCAAGGACTCGTCACCGGTAAACAGTGGTAACACTACCAGGGGTTCCCTCTTGTCCTGTGCACTCCATTCTGAGCCCCAGACCTGCTAGTCCAACAGTGGCCCTGACACTACCTCTTTGTGGTCTCAAAGGCACTCCACAAGTATTCATTCTGGGTTCCAACCGTGGCCCCAATACCTTCTCTCACACTCAAAGTCAAGCTCTGGATTATCCTTATCCACCTCTTTGGTGAGATGTCACACTGCACTAGAGAAGTCCGAAATCAAGGTGACAACAACCCATGTGGACACAATAATCCAGCTGTGTTCAGTCATGTACTGCTCAGCAGTGAACTTGTGACGAGATGTGTAGCTGCACTGTTGTGCAGACGTCACAGAGTCCTTCAGTTAGGACATCAAACAGCACTAGGCAGTGTCCTCTCATGGGACCACCATCCTGAAGTGAAATGCTGTCCAGCACAGTGAGTGGCACATCCCAGTGACTCAGGAGGCCGAAGCAGGATAGAAAGTACAGACCAGCCCCAGCAATGTAGCAAGGCCTGACTCAAATGAAAAGGGATGGGGTGGCTCAGTGTCCCTGGGTTCACTGCACAGAATGGCTATAGTTTATCAGCGCAAAACTCACACAGAGGATTGTTCCTAAAGTATGTTTTTGAATTCATTCTATCTCATCACGATGTTTTAAAAGGAACTCAAACCTAGGGAAACCCAGGCTGATGTAGCACCCCTTCTTACTTTCATTACACAATACAACCTCGCCTCATTTACAAAATAATTTATTTTTTGAACTTCTTCCTCTTGAGAGCTTTCCATTCACCCTCCTGTGTAGCCAGGCTGTTAAAAAGCTGCTTCACTCTCCGCTTTCTTTCTGCATCCCTATAAAAGAAGCAAGTGCCCATTTCTGGAGGATGTCTTGTGACCCAATAACAGCTCAAAACGACACCAGGTACCAAGTCCAACCCAAAGGGAGAGAAACAGGGGTGGAGGGTTGCGGGATGAAGTTGCTCAGCCCTGCAGAGGCTGCTGCATGCCAGTGTCTGCAATCCTGGTGACAGAGACCAGGGGCCTGGGAGTGCTGCAGTCTCACCAGGGTCCGCCTCCCACCACAGGGTCTTTACCTTTCCATGATCTCTGAGAGCTGCATCCTAGCCAGGAACTGATTGTCCTTGCGGATTTCTCGGACGGCACCCTTGAATTCCCGTTTATGTTTGTGGATCAGCCTCTTCCTTTCCTGTTCTTCCTTACTGCTGCCTTGTTTCCTTCCAAATTCCAGGCTGAAATTGGAAAGCCAAAGGCATTATGGGGGCCACCTCTCAGCCAGAGCCCAGTGTCCTCGCCCCCCCACTCACACTTTGACCAGCCGAGGGGTGAACAGCTTTAGCGGGACTGGCTTGCTCTTCTCACACAGCAGTGGCCGGTAGAGCTGCTTTTGGCTTTCCACCTCTGCCAGTGTGCTCTGAAACAGCTCCTGAAAAAACGTGAAGCAGCTGTCCTGGGGCTACCTGTCTGCAGTGCGCCCTCACAGAGTCTATGGGGTCCACAACCAAGGCAACATGGAGACAGCCCAGCGGCCTCAGCAGCCAGCCCGGCCCCACTGGGTAAGTGAAGGGTGGTGGCTGCTCAAAGGGCAGCACAGCAGTGAGAGGAGGAGCCTCCTTCAAGGAGGAAGGAGACCATGTGCAATGGGACTGGCCACCCTGGCGCAACTAAAAGGCTTTACTTAGGCAGTGAGAAGCCATGATATCCGTGCTTCTATTATGAAACTTAACAGAATCCCTTCTTCCTAGAGAAATGTGCTATCGACACACTTTCCATGGAAGTGCAAGGAGCACCACCTCTACTGAGGTGGTCTCGGTGCTTGGTGGAAGGTGCTATGGGGCAGCTGGTGAAGCCACACGAGGGGACAGGTGAGGCTGCTGGGCCTTATCTTCACCAGCACCACGGCTAGGACACTTCAACTGAGGTGCTGAGAGGCCACTGTGGGCTTCTGAGGAACCTCCTACAGGCAACTCGCCGATGCTGGTCCTACACAGGTATGTTCTGGAGCCCAGGCTGCTTGGCTTCCTGTGCCCATAGCATGGCCATTTCTTAGCCCAACTGGACGTAACCTGAGTGCCTAGAAACCTACGTATCCCATCACGCCCTCTTGGCTAGCCCAAATTCTGTAAGACCAGGAGATAAAATTCTCTGTCATTTAAACATAAACACAGCCACGTCCACAGTAAGTGGGTGCAGGTACAAACATCTCGTCCTCATCTGCATCTGACAAGTTGACATGACTTGGAGGATGGTGACATGGTTTGCTCTCGGCTCTCGAGACTGAGCCAGGATTAGGACAGCCAAGCCACTGTCCTAGAGGGACAGAATGAAGGGGCAAGCACTCAGGGGTGGTCACACTGAGGGCAAGAGGCCCAGGAAGCACAGTGGTGATGTCGGGAGGCCTGGCAGAGGAGTGGGGGACAGCCACATAGCTCTAAGGATAGAGTTCCAGGCAAAGAAGACCAGATAGGAGGATCCCAGGCCTGCGAGGTAGGAGCACATGAGAGCACAGGCAGGCTGCCAGGCCAGGAGGCAGCACACCGCAGCGCCCAGTGCCGTGGTCAGCACTTGCCTGTTTTTGTTTGTTTAATATTTTTTAGCTGTACTTGGACATAATACCTTTATTTTATTTATTTGTATGTGGTGCTGGGGATTGAACCCAGGGCCTCACCTGTGCTAGGCGCACGCTCTACCACTGAGCCCCAGCCCCAGCCCCAGCCCTTGCCTCTGATCTTAATGAAAAGGGAATGCAGTGGAGGGCCAGGGCTCAGAGGGTGATTGGCACCTCCTCCTCCAGTGGCCCCCCTGGGCCAGTGCAGAAGGGCCTGTGCTGTGGGTGGCAGCAGGTGGGGATAGCAGGTGGGGCACAGGGCATGGATGCACTGGAGGGTCTGTGGTGACGAGGCCCAAGTCCATGGAGGACAGCCCTCAGGGCTGTGCAGAACAGAGGGACCACCCCAAGAACCCATTGGGCAGCTGCAGAGTCGAGGTGCTCTTTGTGCTGCAGACCCAGCTGCAGGCCCCAGCTGGGCTCAGTGGTCTTTCAGTGCAGCCCCCTGCAGGTTCCGCCCAGTAACGGCATGGATCCAGACTCTGCTTGAATCCAGCCCAGTGGTGCTCAGAGACCAGGGACAGTACGATATCATTTCCCATTCCTGTTTGATTTTGTAATGATGGAGTCCTTAGCTTAAATAGCAACCTCAAGGACAATTATGCGCCACTGACCCACTGCTGGCTCATCGACACCTCAAGGACCAGGAAAGCGTACCTGGAGCTCGTGGGGGTGGCTGCAACGCGTCAGGTGCTCTGTCAGGAGGGCCGGGAAGGGCCTGATGATGGCGTGGAAGGACGGCAGTGTGCCATACATGAGCACGCAGCGTTTTAGCAGGGCCAGACACACAGCCAGGCAGGACAGTCTGCAGGAGCAGGAGACAAGGGCAGGACATCCATTTGTTCCATGACAGCCAGTCACTGGGAAACCAGTACCCTGGGTGAGAAGGTCACCCTAGTCATGCTACCAAGAAGTCAAGTGAGGGCCCTCAGCTTACCACAAGCCGGGGGCACCCAGGAACAGCTGCCTCCTTCCCACGCAGGAAGGAGGGCTGTGGGAGACACTGCCAACTGGAAAGGACGGCTCCCTTCACTTCCCAGGTTAACACTGAAACTAAGCAGGTATGACTCGAAAAAAATCCACATTTTTAGGAAACTTTTTTGACATCAACCCAAAGGGCCATGAGAAACACACCAGCTAAAAACAAACTTTCAGGTGGTGAGTGAAAAGTGCCCATGTCTTCCACCCTCCTGGGGTGCTGTCTGACATACCTGGCGTGGGTGACCTCAGCTGCAGTTGGGGAGCTCGGCCCACTTGCCCAGCGCAGGGGGAGGCTTCCCCTCTGCCAGGTGGCCACATCTTCTGCTTCAGAGACCAAGAGCAATTCGGAATTCTTCCCAAGTGCTCTGAAAGGATGCACCAGAGTAGAACCTGAATTCCAAGCATGACAGAGATGACGGGATGTTACTGACTACACGTTGAGCCTGTAGCACCTCTGCTCCCAGGCTCCCTGGGTGGTGCCACACCTGTAGTCAACTCAAGGAGGCAGACAGCATGGGTACAATGCTGCCCCGGCAGAAGCTTTGGCAGGGGGTGGTCAGAGCCATGCCTAAACCCTGTCTTGGAGGCTTGCTGGCAATAGACTTCCTGTGGACCTACTATGTGTGGTATCATAGGCTCTAGGCCTTGACCAAAGCCTTGGGAGACACAATAAAATCAACAGAAAGAAACCAACTAAGTAGGAAAAGGGATAGTGAAAGAGATGGCCAGGAGGAGAGGACAAGGTCAGGCAGTTTTCAAGTCTGGGGGAGGGATGTCAGCAGAGACCCAGAGGGTGTGCCGCAGTTAACCTGCCCACCACCTGGAAACACAGATGCTGGGGGCGGGGGCAGACTGCTGCGGAGACCTGGGCAGGGCTGAGCAGAGGCAGCTGGGCAGATGGTTGGACTGTTGTCAATTGCCCCAGGCCAGGCCAGCTGCGCTTCCCGCCACCACTGCAAGCTTCCCAACCCTACTGCACGGCCCCGGGGTAGTTCCTGTAGCTCTTTCCAGCAGAAGTGCTGTCGTCTTCCCTCCATTCCCCTTTTGGGGATCACGTGGATGGCTGTGCCTCTCTTTGCCAACACTGAGCCAGACACACATGTGCCAGCAATGGCCACCAGTGCCACCAGGGACCAAGGAAGCCACATGCGGGAAAGTCCTGTCATGGAAGAAAAGCTGAGGGGCAGGCAGGAGGAATGGAGTCCTGATTGAGGAACTGCCTAGATACCGCTCCTACCCAGGCCCCGCAGAGGCAGCCCTGTGCTCTCTGTCAGCCTCTGGGCATGAAGCAAGCTGGAAATGAGATGAGGCCAGAGCCCTAAGTCTGGAAAAGACCCAGATGAGACAGAGACCAAGCACCCATCACAGTTCCAGGGAGACAGCTGAGTGAGAAGTTTGCAGAAGGAAGAGTCTGCGTGAGGAAGCCCTGACCAGTGAAGGGCACTGAGGCCAGGAACAGGTTCAGAAGATCAGCCAGTGGGAGGAATCCTCATCACAACCCTGCTTCGCTACTGCTCCTTCCTAAATCCTATGGCGAGCTAAGTGACCTAACTAACATAGGACGAAAGAAGAGCAAGGTGTGGGGAGGCTAAGGCAAGAGGACTAGTTTTGAGCTCAAGAGATCAGGGCCAGCCTGGGCAACATCCTGACACAAAAACCAAACCAAACCACCATGCACCAGGCCCCAGGCTCCCTCCCATGTACAACTAACCTCCCAAATTAAGACTGATATTCTGTTTTGTGTGTGTGTGGAGCTGGGACTGCACCCAGGCCCTTGCATGCTGGGCAAGCACTCTACCACGGGGCCACATTCCCAGCCCCGTTTCTTTTCACAATATTATTTCAATGCCTAAGAGAGAAGTGTGTCAAGATTTTTATGTATATTTCTTGACACTGAGCCCTGGCTGTATGGTGTCCTCTTCATAGTCTCTGCTCAGACTTGCACATGTGACCTCGGGCCTGGAAAGCACCGTTCCCTCAGCAGCAAGCTGAGTGTAGGTGGGTGTGGGTGTGTGCACGTGCACACTCAGAGGAGAACATGCTGCTCTGGGTGACAAGACTGCAGAAGTGTTTGTTTTTGTCTCTGGGGAATTACTCTTTACAATACATGTCAAGGAAGTTCCCACACACCAACTCACCTTGGCTTTGTGTGTTTGGAGTTGCTATGTAGAGAATCCCAAGAAGAAAATTAATAACCTCAGGTACGAATCTGTGAGACAGAGCCACGAACTCCAGAAACAAGCAGCACACAAAGAGGCCCTTCACCACGTCTTGGAGCGACAGCACCGGGCACTGGAAAGGAAGCCACAGGGGAGCTGGTGCTCTGGACTCATGTTCTGGGAACTGTGTGAGGCAGACACCTGGCTGCCCAGGGGAGCTGTGCTCTGAGCCTCACCCAGAGCGAGTCCTGCATCCTGACAATGACCCCTGCAGATGACACAGCCTTACCCACGTGTAAGGCAGGATCACTGCAGTCTGTGTGGGCCAACTGTATGCCTCACAAAGGGAACCAATTTGAAATCCATACCCCCAAAGGGAACAAAAGCCCCTATCATATTGATTTGCCAGCTCCTTCCTGGGGACACATCCTCCACTAACCATGAACCTCTACACCAGACTCCCATACCCTGCCCATCCAGGGAAACACTCAAGGGTGCTGTGCACCTCGTCTGACCAGAACTCTGACCTCTTAGTTCTCACAGGTCCTAAAGACAAATGGGCTTCGGCCTGATCTCACGGTCAGTATCCCTGAACCTCAGCCATGCTCCTGTTCAACATGGCCCTGAGATGTGCTGGGAAGAGGAGACACACCTTCGTGAGCAGCTGGCTCAGGCACAGGAAGGCAGGGGTCACAACTGGGTGCCGGAAGTCAGAGGTCGGAAACAACATCCCAGCAATCTTCAAATAAATGAGCTGGAGAGAGAGTGTTGCCACAGATTACAGAAGGAAATGAAGCTCAACTAAAGCACACTCTTACAAGGGGCCCAGGAGCAGAGCTGGTTTAAAGTCCTGGTGAAACAGCCAGCGTCAGTGGGCACCGTGCTCCCCCTCACCTAGGTCTTCTGAAAACATCACCCAGAGAAAGCATGTGAACTGCTGAGCATGACAAGGTTCTTTAGAACAGACAGTTATTTTCAGTAGGTCCAATCCCAGAGCAGCAGCTTCCACAAGGAGCCTGCCACCAGCAGCAGATGGGGGTACTTAGGGGCAGCTGCCAGGGACCCACGTTAGAGCTGGAGGAGTCTGAAGTGGCCTTTCATACAGCAGGAGGGAACCTTCCACCCACACTGGTGAAGATGCCTCCTCCCTGGCCCAAGGTACCAGTTCATTGGTTTGTTTTCATTACAAAAACATACAACAGTTCTGGGTGACATGCAGCCTCTAAAACCAGCACTTCCGGGAAGCTGGCGAGACTCCATTTCCCATCTCGGGTGGTTGCAAGGGCAACGAGCCCAGCAGCAGCACATCAGAGGGGCCGTATCACCTCTGCAGGGTGGCTCAGGACAAGGCTCCAGGAAACAGAGGCCAGCACTGCCCAGCCTACTGTAGCCTCAGGCCAGGGCCTGTCACAGGTGTGGTGAGGATTCCACTGGT